AGGTCTTAAGTCACCTGATTCACGAGCCCTTTGTACTACATTAACAAAGGCACGAAGGGTTGGTTGCACTCGATTGGGAAACCGATGTGCATAAATCCGTGATGCCGCGGCAGCATTTTGTAAAGACTCCACCCCCGTTAATAAGAATAATGTCCACAAGCTCAGCATTTTCGTAAACATGTGCCATTTTTTATTTCGTTTGAGCTACGCAACAAACACCAGTATTCACTCTCGCTTTACCGACTGACACATTGACTGAATACAACTGAATAAAATTGTAGTAAAAACATCGTGATAAGCGTTTCAAATTCTTTCGCTTTTTTGTTTCCGATGCGATGAACCGATAAGGCGGATTATATCCGTTGTTGCCAAACACGAGCACATAATATTATTATTGAGACAGGGCGGTACTCAAACTTCTAAAGGGCTATAAATTTGTTACTTTAATTTTACCACAAAAATGTTAAAGGAAAAAAACATTTCTTTTGATCAGATCTAGTCACTGTTAAAATAAATGACTCAACTTCGAAGTCACTCTGTATAAGCAACGGTACCCTAATATGCGACATCCAAGGCCGGAAACATTTTCCACACTACGAGAACGTTTTGAATCAAGTGGAGCAGTGAAATATAGTATAGTTCTCAGGATTTCGCAGCTCGAATGGAGTTTAGTAGAATAATGCTAAATAAAGTGAGTGAAGACAGAACTTACTACTTACATACGTTATTCACCTGTATAGTAGTGAATTAATGTATCAAGGATTCTGACGCAGTAATTGGAATGATGAAAATCCATTAGTCAAGTGAAGCGTCTACCAATATCTTCCGATAATTCTATTAATGAACTAAGAGGCAATTTCGTTAGAATATCAAACGCTTAGAAGAGCACGTCTCTTAGTACGTAAACTAATTCGATTGTCCTTTAGCATTTTGAAAAAAACTAATACATAACATTACGTGTGATAATATTTCGGTGATACTCAAATTTTTTATGCACTTGCGAAACATCACTAGACTGGAAATTTTACACTCTTTTCAAAGATCAAAAAATGAAAGTTTAAGCAACCTGGAAAACAAAAGACGATTGACATGTCATACACGCCATCTTATTTGCCTTAAAAAAATGTCCGAATAATGTCACATTTTGACAGCTGTCAAATTAACCGATTTGGATTTACTGGAAAAAAAAAACAAATTCCGTCATTTACTGTTTTTCGCAGATATTTCCAAAACCAATCGGCAGCTCGTAAATCTGAAGTCGGCTAACGAAAGCACTAAGTTTCCTCTAAAACTTTCCCTATTTAACCTTTGTTGTAGATATAACAGGAGCTGATATTCCTGTATAGAGAAGCAAATCTGGGACACACTGTATAATTGACTTTTCTTTATTCTACATAATCCCTACTTGTTCAGTCACTGTATCAGCGTTTCAGTAGCTTCCCTGCACTCGTCTACGGCAGATATTACCTGTTGACATCTTAAAAAAATTCCCTCGTAAATGCTCTTTTAATTGCAGTTGTAGAAATAATTTTCGGAGACAGGTCTGGTGGATACGGTGGGTTATCTGTTGTGTTTTTGATGTACGAGACATACCACTCAATCCGTCGTCCCGGAAACACCAAAAGTCCTCCGAAAACGCGAAAACCCACCTATAACTGTTATTGAAACATACGTTAAATGGGAACAAGTGTGGCTATTCTAGGCAGTCCTGAGCTTTGCTTGTTTCTCGATGTACCATACCAAAATTATACATGTTACAGGACCTTTCAGAATATTGTATTGGGGTGTTCAGAAGGTTCTTGCGTTTTTTTTTGTAAGGAAGACTATTGTAACTCGGTTTTGGTTAAACTAAGATATAGACATTAGAAGATTTTCTGATGAATTTCGTTGTCAGAAAAATGACGATGTCATCAAACATAATGTTGCACATTGCAATAATTCTTGTATGTAGAAGGTTATAAATGGTATTACAATATAAACCTAGCAATTTTTATAAATTTTAGTCTTCGTTTTATCAATCAGAGAAAAAAGTACACTTGCTCTAGATTTAGTAGGATATTTATTGAAATATTACAGTATTTTTCAAACTAATGGTTGAAAAAACCTCTTTAATGCCAATCTGAGTCACTCAAATTATGTTCATCTTCGTGTTCTCCACTATCATCGTTCTCAACTTCTGTATTTTCAGCAATGTTAATATTATGTCCTCTTTGTATTTTTTATCTTTCTTTTAGAGAAAAATGAAAAGCAGGTAAGCCTCAGGAATGCTAAGAAGACTGTTTGCTTTTGATTTACATAGGTCTAATAAGCCATTTAATTTTCTAGCATCTACTGGAAGCAACCTTATGTACAACAAAGCTAGTTCCTGAAGCGTATTGTTTTGCGATCTCATTCTCCAATCAATGTTACTGTCGTGAGATCATCAGCATAGTCACACTTATGTTTGATTTCACGAGGCAGTTATCTTATTTATTTTAAACTTGTCTCCGCAATCGTCTTTGCTTCAACTTTCCGATTTTACCTTTTATTTAAAACTAACGGATCCACAACCGACCGCAGACAGGGCTCTTTAGCCCTCATCAGTACGATATAGGTCTGTATCAGGTCCAGACGTGGAGATAAACGAATGAAAAGCAAACACGTGAGTGTAGTCTTCGTAAACTTTTTTATTCCACAGGCATGAGAGAAACAGACTGTGATGCGACAGATCTCAATGCATAACGTGCAGAAGAGGATGCTATGTTTGAACCTTCTTGTTGTGTTAAAAAAATTCATCACTATTTATGAACCAAACTTGCCTGAATTTAACGGTTCAGCCACTGCATCTGCCAGAATTCTTTTGGTTCTTGAATTTAGTTTAGTTCGCTTTGAAAACTGCTCTTTTCATACAGCTACTGCTTGAAACGTTTTCGCTATTAATTACTGTATCCTCAGACTATGCCGCGTCATATTAAGTTAGACAGTAGGTCTAACAGTAAGTTAAGCTTCCCGTGATTTTTTGCATCGAAGACTAAACTAACTCAATTTGATGTGGTTTTTGCGGGAGCAACCGCCACTATTATACTTACTATATGACGTAGAAGATTTACTGGTTGCTTATAGTTGCATGACTGATATACCATATTCTTACACCAAAGATAAAGTCTATCGATACCATATAGTAAGTTAAAAGCAAGAATTCTTGAGTTACTATAGTCTTCGTTGCAGTGTTCGGATTGTACTTGAAGAACGGTCATTATTGGGACCGAAAGCTACTACAGAACAATAATATGGGAAATTATCAACATGAAAACCACATGATAAGTTTCAGATGTCACTTAACAACGCAAATGGAATTTTAGTTTTATTGAAATGGTTTACGTGGTCTACATCACAAAAAAAATGCCATTTCTTTTGAAATATTCCGCATAACACCGGGATTTGTTGTCTCACTTTTCGGCTGCTATCCCAAGAATTTATCACTGGATAAATTGTCGGCAGTCGAAAAACTACACGGCAGATAAAAAAATCGCTGCGAGGACGTGTGTGGAAAGATTTAATTCCGCCCTGACACGTAACGAATTCTCTTCTACCTTTGGAGGTCTCGGCATCGGGCAAAAATTAAATTTGGGATCTGCGGTTGCGGCAACCGGTAAAGCGTCCGCCATTAGCGTAGAAATACGGGGTCCAGGGGACAAGTTCACATTTCAAATTTGAATTACGCGGCAACCGTATACGCGAGGAAGTGGGGACAGGTCTCGATCGAGGCGTGCGGCGTGCGGGTTAAATAGTCACAATGGAACGTTGGACCGGAGCGCAACGTGCTTTTGCTATCGAGACCTACTGTAAGAGTGGTGATTCATACGCAGCAATTAAATTTGGGAGCTGCGGTTGCGGCAACCGGTAAAGCGTCCGCCATTAGCGTAGAAATACAGGGTGTCCAGGGGGCAAGTTCACATTTTAAATTTGAATTACGCGGCAACCGTATACGCGAGGAAGTGGGGACAGGTCTCGATCGACGCGTGCGGCGTGCGGGTTAAATAGTCACAATGGAACGTTGGACCGGAGCGCAACGTGCTTTTGCTCTCGAGGCCTACTGTAAGAGTGGTGATTCATACGCAGCAATTAAATTTGGGAGCTGCGGTTGCGGCAACCGGTAAAGCATCCGCCATTAGCGTAGAAATACGGGGTGTCCAGGGGACAAGTTCACATTTCAAATTTGAATTACGCGGCAACCGTATACGCGAGGAAGTGGGGACAGGTCTCGATCGACGCGTGCCGCGTGCGGGTTAAATAGTCACAATGGAACGTTGGACCGGAGCGCAACGTGCTTTTGCTATCGAGGCCTACTGTAAGAGTGGTGATTCATATGCAGCTGCCTGTATACGATACAACATTCGCTGACCAAGAGATGCTCCAAGTAAGGACCTATTGAAAAAGTGGAGTGGGGTGAAAGGTTTCTCCTCATGATCATTTTCTCTTTGTAGATCCTTTGGGCTTGAAGTACCACAGCAAGTGGCTATAACCGGCCGCGTGGTTGTGGCTAGATGTCTCCTTGAAAATTCGAGGTCTCCTAGCCGTTTTATACTACAATGTGTAGGTTGGCTCTTGTTGTGGACTTCGTGTGTCGTTTTTTTCCCTCTCCATCTTCGTTTCCTCAGGTTACACCCATATCAGAATGTGTGGGCATGTGTATCTACTTTTGTAGTTTCATATGTGCATTCATTTCGGGCCTGATGAAGCCAACCAGCAGAAATACGTATCGCTCGGGTTACCTATCCTAGTCTCTGCTCGAATCCACTTTCCTCCGTTTTGCGGATTTTGCCCATTATTTTCCTACTTTTTGTTATATACCTTTCTCCGCATGATCATTTTCTCTCTCTCTATATATATATATATATATATATATGTATATAAGACCGAATCAGAATATTTTCCCAGCAGATGTGAAGATAGTTCCTGGACTATGCACCGCACTGGATCAACCGTACACATGAGAACCCATAAAAAGTGATACTTACCAGAGCTGCATTTCCCTCTGTAGATAATATTAAGAGTCTTCCTAGCCCTGCAAGCCTCTTGCCTCAGTGTACACTCATTGGAGTAGGTTTTTCCGTCTGAACCGCACACTGGCGTAAATTCTAGAGGACAGGTATCACCGCACCGGCAAACTGGATTACGTTGTTCATCCAACTGACAAACTTCTGGTTCTGCACATTGCACTCCAGCACACGGGTCTGGAACAATATAGAAAAACGGAATTAGTTGCGGGCAGTAGAGATAGAGACGTTTACATCGAAAAACATGTTGATACTCAAGCGCAAAAATAACAAGTGGAAACATTGTCTTATGTTTAAGGAACCGCGAAGTCAAACATAGGCGAGGGGAAAACAGAAATTTTTTGATGTCCAAGAATCTTCAGAGCCCAGTTATACTATACGAGTACATCATTCAGTAAAATGCAATTTTTTTAAATTCCAAATATTATCCAAATGTCCTCTTAAATTTAAATAAAGTAATTCATTGAATCTAGGCGATCAGTTTAACCTAAACTAATTAAACAAATTTATTAAGTATAACTAATTTCTTTTACTTTGAGCAGGTAAGCTCATTTAAATATTTCATTAATTTTAAATAAATTGGGGTTGTTAATCTAAGTAAACGGTTATTAAATCTAATTAACTGGTTTAACTAAACTAGTTTCATAGACTCAAACTGTTTCAGAAATAGGAGGTTCTCATGATTAACTAAATTTTTTAATTAGCCAAATTAAATTTTTCTTTTGGTGTAGTAATTTTTCCTAGCTTCACACATTTGACCTCTATTTAACCTTTAGAGCTGACCTTGGTATTAGATTTAAAAGTGTCGCGAGTTCTCGAGTTATCTCTAAATTCCCGCAACATGATTGAATCACCTAATATACAGGGTGAACGGAGATATTTTAGAGGGTGATTCCTTCTTAAATAAATATGAAAAATTGTTTTTATAAACATGGCTCCGGAAATTTTCATTTACTTGTATTTTTTTCATATGTTTTCGAGAAAAAAAATAACCGTTTTATTGCATGTCACTGAACAAATTTGGTTTATTGTTTTTGGGGAAAAAATCACAAGTGCCTTGTGAAACATGAATAGAAAAAAAACCTCTTAATACAACAAATAATAGTGCCAAATTCCAACAGAATCGAGTAAATATTTTTTTTTAAATATTAATAAGAAAAATTATCAAAATTTATTTTAAAAACTCTGCATCTCCGGACCCATGTTTATAGACAGTTTTTTTTCATATTTCTCAACAAAGAAACACCCTCTAAGATATCTCCGTCTATTTTCCGAACACCCTGCATAAGGATATCTAGAACTTCGACAAAAATGCACAAGCGGATTTTACAGTGGAATTACATGATTACACATAAACAAAATGACTCCTCATAGAGAAATACAAAAAATTAGGACAGGTTTATTTTTAAACCTCAAGCTTAAAAAGATAACTTATCTTGATGAAAAGTAACAGACACAATGCTTGGGCTAAAACTGAACCCTCTGGAACACCCATGCTGATAATGTGAGACGAATAGGAAGAGATACTGGAGGCAAGCATTGTTCCTAATCATGTTGTGGAAAATTGAATAGCCGATATAAATTTGGCGTATAAAATGAAATATTAATTAATCCGAATTATAAATAATTGCACCACAATCATATTAAGAGATCAATAATACGGCTTGGATTAATAGCAGAAACGTTTTCAGATAATTATTTAGTTCACCACGATATGTTCAATTAACTAATTTAATAGTAATTTTCTGGTGTAGCTGTCTGTGAGGGCTTATCAAGGAAAATCTATTTGCAGCTCATCTGTGTCACTGAAAGACTGTTGATAAATGCAGTTTAACAAAATTGATCCGTACATGAGAAGGATTCACAATCTTATCAGGGTAAACTAAATGATGCTTCACATTACAAAGTAAATGTCAAACACTTTTAAAATATACTTCTAGCTAGTTTAGACACTTGCCATTTCTCAAATCAATAACAAAATGGTTGCCCTACCCCAGTGGACATGAAAAGGTATATCCACAATCTTGGAATGTACGTTTTAGATCCTAAACGTGACATCCTAATAAAACATGTTCTGAACACATGCTGTTCACATCCCGTTGAAGCATATTCTCCTGACGAACGTTCTAGGAATATGCGACTGAAGAACATTGGAACCAGCATGTTGATAGCATATTTACATAAGCGATATACACATGCTAAAATGCTAACACCGCTTCCCTGAAGGAAATTCGTTTTTCTTATACATAGCGTGTGAATAACAAAACGTAATTGAAGGAAATACATTTAAAATACAGGGTGGCGCATCGAAAACAAAACAGACGCATTTACTGGCAGCTCAGTTTTTTTTTTTTGAAAAACGCTCAGACCCGTCGATTTTGTTTTCGAGGAGGACACAAGTTTGGCAAAAAATCACGTTAACACGTGAAGCCTGGGCGGGGGTGACACCAACCCTAAAATCTTAAATGGAAAGGGGGTTCGAGTGATACCTTATTTTAAAGGTCTTTCAATCAATGGCACAATGATAAGCAGTCCCGTTTACCGGCTTCCATTTTGTTTTATTCCATGTCTGTGGGTATCTAACATAGCGTGCATCGTGTGTGTCTCCAAGTGGTACATTATTAGGAGAAAAAAGTAAGTTTCGTGATGATTATTCTCCTCAATTTATCTGACCAATGAACATTATAGTGTTTACAATATCATAACCTCCACAAACATCGCCTAATAGGAAGTTTAATTTGTATTGAGAAGGAATTGGTATCTACATCTGCTCATGATGAGAGTCTCTAATTTGCTGGCCTGACGTTTTGCACAACCAGAAATTCTCCGGAGGTTGATTTTTTATATACCACGTTTAAATTCGACTCTTTCTACTGCAGTAACTACCGTACCAACGTATTATTTTATTCACCGCTATGTGTAATAATTATAATAGCAGACAGGTAAAATAGCTAATTATTTTATATTCGTTTTAGGTATTTCTTGTATGCACATTATTAGTTAAGTTACCATCTATTGCGCGGTAATTGGATTAGTTTGTTGGGCAATTACGTACAGGGTTTGTCCGGAAAGTAATAGGACTGAGTCGATTTAAACAAATTTATTGAGCCAATCGTTACAATTCTTTAAAAACTTTCAAAATAGGCTCCTTCTGCGTCGATGCAGCGGAATAGCCTTGAGAGCCGCGGTGCATGCTGCTTGGATCCCCACTGTCGCCTCAAAAGCCTTGCCTTTCATCGGCCTTTTCAGGCGAGGAAACAAAAAAAGTCCGGAGGGCCACGTCTGGGCTGTAGGGCGGCTGCGGAAACGTTGGGATGCCGGCCTTGGTCAGGTAGCTATTCACAAGAAAGGCGGTGTTAGCCGGGGTGGCTGCGATGTCTTGACGGACCCGACTGATCCTTCGTTTGAGTCTCCTGAGCACTTTCACGTAAAACTTGGCGTTGACGGTTTGTCCAGGAGGAAAAAATTCATGGTGGACGACGTCTTTGATGTGAAAAAGACAATGAGCATCGTTTTCACTTTGGATTTGCTCATTCTTCACCTTTTTTGGGCGAGGAGACGCCGTCGTGTGCCACTCGGAAGATTGCCTCTTTGTCTCGGGATCATACTCAAAGATCCATGACTCGTCACCTGTGATTACTTTGTTCAAAAATTGGGGGTCACTTTCACACATGTTCAAATCTTGTCGTGAGCACTTTTGGGACCATCTTCGCGCACACCTTGCGCATGTTCAAATGCTGTGTCCCAATGTCATGAACCACAGATTTTGGTAAATTTAACATCTGGGCAATTAAACGAATACTTAGTCGAAATGAGTCCTACTACTTACTGGACAAGCCCTGTATAAATAAATGAATGAATAAATATACACATCCTTAGAACATGCTGCCGCATGTTGTTATAGTGTGTGATAACTGTTCCTGATAGGGGTTTGTAATATAGTCTTAACACATTCAATTGATGTGCGATGTGCCTAGGACGTGAAATTGAGGGAAACACTGTCTTTTCAAGTAAGCCCATAGATTTTTCTATTGGTTGAACATTCCTAGATTATATCAAGGCGGACCTTTTTAATAAGATTTCACATGTTCGATGAGGTAAAAGTCGAATCTTTGAAGTTAAACGAAAAAGTTGCGGGGCGACGGAATCGAATTCGGATAACTTTTTGATTATTTTAAATATACGCTTGATTTGCTGTAATGGCTCGGTCCATTTGTCGGGTGTTTTCAGATCCGGTAACGTACCGGAAGTGAACAAGAGTTTGTTGAAAAACAATTGACTGGTGTACATTTTTTTGTTTGAGCGACTTCCTGTCCATGTGTAGTATAATTCGAAGATCGAAAATGACGAAAAGCTAATAATGCCCTACTTTTTATTACTCTCTCACACAATCCAGCGCACTGTCATGTTTTACCAGTAGGGTTCAAGTACTTCGATTTTAACCGGCTCCGTTTTTCCAACTTTTACTTCCCACGCCTACTGGAAAGGAAGTATTGTAATCGTGAAAATTTATGAAAATGAAATATGTTTTTCGCATATTATATGACATATACTTTGAAGTTGAGTCATTAATTTTCAGATAATGATTGTAGAAGGAAGATAAACCAAAATATGTGTGTAAAAATAAAAGAAAAAAATTAAAAAAAATGTTACGTTGTTTTATAAAGTATCCTCCCGACAAGTATTTCAGTGCGGACCTGTATTTGATCGTGCGGTCTTGGAGCACCGGCATGCCCTCCCCTGTGAGGTCTTAAGTCACCTGATTCACGAGCCCTTTGTACTACATTAACAAAGGCACGAGGGGTTGGTTGCACTCGATTGGGAAACCGATCAGCATAAATCCGTGATGCCGCGTAAATAAGAATCATGTCCACAAGTTCAGCATTTTCGTAAACATGTGCCATTTTTTATTTCGTTTGAGCCACGCAACAGACACCACTATTCACTCACGCGTTACCGACTGACACTAACTGTATACAACTGAATAAAATAATTGTAAAAACATCGTTCCAAATTCTTTCGCTTTTTTGTTTCCGATGCGATGAACCGATAAGGCGGATTATATCCGTTGTTGCCAAACACGAGCACATAATATTATTATTGAGACAGGGCGGTACTCAAACTTCCAAAGGGCTATAACTTTGTTACTTTAATTTTACCAGAAAAATGGTAAAGGAAAAAAACATTTCTTTTGATCAGATCTACTCACTGTTAAAATAAATAACTCAACTTCGAAGTCACCCTGTATATCACAAAAAATTATGCCACTCATTTCCATCGCACTATCTCTGTGTCTACGTGATGCCGCGAAGCATAAGAGAATGGGATCCACACTCATGGGTCGCGGGTAGTTCGCGGCTTCGCGCGCGCAATTCGCGCGTGAGTCTGGAGAGGGCATTATATTAGATATAATGAACTAATACAAACAAAATAATCTTAGAAAAATGGTGGATTCTTAATCTTGACCCTCTCACGGAAATTTAAGTTTCGTGAACTTTGAAGATGCATGCATTGGGGCTTACTATTTCAGCAGCCCAAGGTAGTAATTCAAAACCGATATGCAGCTATTGTAATTTTTGTAAATTTCTTTCATAGTAACGGAGCTGTTACACATTAGAAAATCAACCTGTATTCAGGGTCGGTATAGAATCATACGCTCACAAGTTCGGACTTGATGTCCTTGGCGTCGAGCACGCTACATTTCTGCACTCGCTCTAAAATCTGTGTTTCTGGCTGTACCTCGCTCGATCAGTTAAATTCCGTACATCAATGATTCTCCGCCGGTCGTGTATGTAGGTAATATTTTTGTTGAGTTAACGCATCTGGCAGGGAATAACCACAGAACGTGCGTTGGACAATGTATACGCAGGTACTTACCGCACTTGCCAGCGAACTTGACGGTAATGTTGGAGTTTCTGGTGCAAGCCGCCCTTTTGAGTTCGCAAAGGTTCACGTAGTCGACAGCGTCGGAACCGCAGACTGGCCGGGAGGAGTCGTGGTCCCCGTACCCGGGACACTTGTCCGGACACGTGCAACTGGCGTTCCGCCCGTCAGAGCTTACCACGCATTGGGCGCCCCATCCACACTGCTTCTCCCGGCAAGGATCACTTTGTTCTGCAACAAAATATACAACTACAGTATATTCAGATAAGAGATAGACCGGATGTAAACAAAAGGTTCGGGTGATTTTCACGCTAACGCCGCCGTCTCGACGTAAAACAGGAGCCCTCATTGGTCAATTCGCAATTAAATGCCTATGCCGAGCGGCAGAGCAGTCGTATCAAGGCAGAGTCACATTCAGGTTCAGACGTGTTACGTATGTCGTGTGCATCATTGCAATTTGATATTTCTTTGGACGTTTTCGTTTGTTATCTTATTAAGTTGTTGAGTTTGTCGTTGTTATTGTTATACCTTGTTATAATTATAGGCTAATTTAAACGCCATTTTGAGATTATATTCGACTGTATTTCACCAAACATCAGACGGCATCCGAAGCTGGAAATCGAAGCGAAAATTTTGAAACCCTTATGTATATTTACATCATTATATATTTCTTACCCCACCCCCACATGATCCTATATCCATCACCAATCGTATACACATCGAATTGTGCTAATTTACTACAAAGTTACGCAAAGCAGCATCTACTATCTAAAATATGTACTGCGTGACTCTTAATACGTCCCTGCCGAATGTTACAGCGTTCGATGATCACGTGGTCTTGTTTATGTCCGGTCTATCTCTTATCTGAATATACTGTAAGCAATAACAGATTAAAAATGAGTAGAAGCTATTTTATTTATACCGAAGCAGCTGCGTAGGCAGAAGCCTAAATGCCAGGGTACCGCGGCTGCATTGAGGAGCTTAAAGAAACTTTGTTAATCCGACTTAAGGTTAATGATATCATGAAGCATCGATGAGTTGGGCAACATGTGAGCAGTACTCAAGGCTAGGTCTTATCTGGGTCTTGTACAAAGTGATCAGGTTATGTAGGTACTTCATAGAAGTAAACAATTAGCCTAGCTTTCTCCCAGTAGCTGCAAATAATGACGAGATGTGTTAATGCCAAATCAAGTCCTCGGTGATCTGCACACCCACTAGTCGAAATGAGCGACTCTTTGATAGAATCCGGCATCTTGTTAGTAAAAATACAATACAGTCTTTTGGAAGCATTAAACTGTACCAGACTGTTGCGCAAATTTCTGGCAAAGGACCGGTTTGGAAGAGACGTGAAACAACAGGAGCAAGCTCCGCTGCATATCTCCTCAGTACAACGGGAGCAGAAGCTTTGTTGATGTCAAGCGACAAGTCTTATGGTCTTATGCCTGAAGGTCACTTCCGCATAGTCTAGGGAATTCTTGGGGGCTAGCCTGGATGTTCATCGTAGCAGGAAACAGCGCTGTCTGTGGTTGATGATGGTTACAGACACGAAAAGCAAACATATCCAGTTTATCAAAGAAATGTTAAATGGTTTTATTGTAAGTAAACGTATCGATGCAAATATTGTAGTAAGAGCTAAAAAGGTATTCTCCACACAGACAGTGAAGTTATAATAAAGATCTTACCCTTTGGGAATACGTAACAGGCGATACTGAGTTCCAAAACACAACTGGATGACACCATCAGCAAAATGATTTGGTGGAACTTCATTGTCTGTGTTCTATCACAGTAGCTATCCTGAGTTACTAGACGATATGGTGACCACTACAAAGATTACTAGGAGCGTATGTGAGTGATATTTATGTCTGAAATTCAACAGAAATGCCTCTAGATCTTTCATTACCCATCCAATAAGATTGCCACTATGAACAATTTGATATGAAACTACTATTTTTGATCCTTGGATCCTATATACTTCAAAAGTACAGAGGGTAACTACTACGATAAGGACGAAACAGATTGTACAGTATTGTTCAGAAGCTATATAAGAATAACCAATTTCCAGTAGTGTCCTTTAAGGGATGCGATAAGCGGTTAATTATAGCGACGAAGGATTTTTATAGGGGCTTGCGTCTAAGGTATACGCCAAAGATAATATCTGATTGTATACTTTGAGAGTAGAATAAAAAATATCGATCAGAAACATACACAGCTGTTCAAAAACAGATCAGAAAGTTCCCTGAATATTTAATTGCATGGCTAAAACTTCGATTGCCATCACGTTATTCCAACTTTTGAGTCATAGTGGTAAACCAGTCGTCCAATTATGGTTAGAGTAACTTTTAATAGGCAATTCCCCTATCACTGATAATGCTCGTACTCAATTAAGTTAGGGCGCATCCTCTGAAGCTATAAATATGTCACGCTGCAAACTCAAACAAGCCCACGGAAGTTTTTAAAATAGCGGACGAGAAAAACTAATTAAGCAAAACAAATATTGTCTCCGATCTCTGAGGTTAATGAAATATTCAAAGACTTTTAGGGATACCACCGAGTTTGGTAGATTTTTGTTTTTTTGGATGTCATCGGACCAGTTCGTTATTATTTACTATACTCTAAACAGGATACTGAGTCTGATATTCATTCCAGAGCGAATTTTCTTCAAGATAATACAGTTTTATTATTATCATCATCATTGGTCTACGTGACATTCGGTTTAGGGATATGGGGTGTTCGAGTCTCATTTTTTCTGCTCGTCTTTGCAAAGGGATTTGAATTTCATCAAAAGCTTGGGATGGAATTCGGCTTAATGGATTCGGAGGTAGACAAAAAACCGTATAGGTAGGACACCGCAAAAGTATTGTCGTGTGACAACTAAATACATCGCAACTAGGATATGTTTACAGTCGTACAAAGTACACGCTTTGGTTAGACTAACTACAAAGTATAAACAATTATCTGTCCATACAAATATACTGTATGACAAAAAAAAGGAAACATCTACGTATGTTTATTAGAATTCAAGAATTGTTTACACATTATTGGCTTATCCACCTTACAGCCAAGACTTGGCGCCAAGTCGGAGTTCTAAGAACGCAGGTTTACATCCGAAAACCAAGAGATTGCAGATTGGAAGTCTTGATTCTGCTGAGAAGTAGCAATGCGAACGCTGGTTTAATGTTTGATTCTTGCATATAGTGAAGCTTAGACACGTCTAAGCAGCAAGCTAAATACCTATACATCGCAGCTGCTAGGTGTTTAAAGAAACTTCGTTAATTCGATTTTCGAACTGCCTAAAGGAAAAAGCCTCCACAGGTAGGGTAAGGGTTTCCTTACTGTCCGTTAGTCGGATAGCCCTCCTTTTAACAGCATCGAGCACGCGGCGGCAGGACTCCGAACATATGAGCAGTACTCGATGCTCGACCATATCTGCACCTTGTACATAACGAGGAGGCAATATGGAGAAGGACTTTTCCTGGCCCTAAACAAACAGCATAGCTTTTCCCAGCAGCTGCCGCTAATGACGAGATGTGGTTGTACCAGATCAAGTCCTCGGTAATCTGGGCTCCGGCCAGCCAAAATTAACTTTAGGGTGATTCTTGTTACTGTGTTTTGAACGCATTAAACTGTACCAGGCAAGAGCATTCCCTGGGGAACACCCGCGTTGACATTGTGCGAGAAGTGGAGAGCCCGTCAATTATGGCAGACATCCTGTGTCCAGAGACGAAGTTAGCCACCCATCAGCAAAGCTTCTCTGGGAGGCCATAGGATCGGAGTTTGCATAATGACTCCTCTTCACAATCGGCGATAACAAACGATTACGCGGGAGCACGATCCTGCAGAGGGCATACTCGGCTGTACTCGTCGATCATCGTCTATGATCGCCTTCGACCCGTGAATTGTCAGTCTTTCGGACACGCATCAAAGGAAATCGCCGGGTCATATTGATGCTTGCCGTTTAACAAACTACTACGGATGCTTGCACGATGATCGTGCCTATTATGAACGAACTCACGATCAACGATCATCGCCGATAGTGAAGTGCAGGCATAAGAGAGCAGCATGTCACAGCCGGAAGCTGGATGAGTTTACTACACAGTTGCGTCGAATAAGCTAGATGGTCGTTCGTGTGGAAACCATACATACTGCCTGCTAGTTTGAAAACCGGTCAATAAGTTTTTCATTCGATAATACTTATGCTGTGCCCACGTATGAAACATTTAAGTCCTTTTGCTGATTATGGTACACCCTGTGTCGAGTGTTTTTCGAAGGATTTCAATGACAACTGCGATCAGTATTTTTTACCAATCGAACGACCCGCGCAACGCAAAAAGCATTTTCGTCCAACCCATTTTTTTCCGACGACCCTTTCTACCATACAAAAAATCTCGTGCTTGCCAGAAGTTTAACCGCGCGCGGCAGTAAGCGTAGCGTCAGTATCTGATTAGTCAGAGAGAGATATGTAAAAGGATAAGATCCAGAGGCATTTTTCAGGACACGATACCGTACGACCGTGGTCGATCGATGCGGAGCAACTGCGAGCGCGCACAGACCACACGTTCACACGTCACTGAGGTGAACAGACTGTCTTTTCCTTAGGAGGCAATCCAGGTATATCGTGACTACACGGCAAGCAGAGCAAGCGCCATATTGATTTTAAACTCGCCAAAACACTACAAGAGATTACTATGAGCAGAAAAGGTGTCGCTCCTTTGTCCCTCACTTCAGATAAACGCCTGAATGGAAACACTCCTCGATAAGACGGCCATTCTGGACTGCAGAACACGCGTATTGTGTTGTACAGGGGTGGCGCTTAAGTGCTCCGTAGATTTTTTGATACAAGGCGACTTGAAAAGCTTTGCAGATACGGGAAGACTGGAAAATGTTCATCAATTGATGATTCTCATTATCTATCTTGGGAAATCTCGAAACCGGAGATACTACAGACCAAAATATGTGAATTGACCTCAACATACCTCAGTCCAAAAGTTGATAGTTTGCGAGATACAGGATGTCAAAGTTACAATTTTATTTTCTATTTTTCCTTATTGCTTGAGAAGTATTTCAGATGTTATTCACATCTTTTGGTCTGTAGTATCTCCAGTTTCGAGATTTCCCAACCTTTCGCAGACTGTATATCATATTTAACTTCTCTATAATTTTCAAGTTATTCTCAGCCACCTGATTTCTGCAAGATCATTCCTCTCTACATAACATTGTTATGGTTTCAAATTTCAACATCATCAGGCTCAAATGATGCTGCCGTTATTGCCTGTATTTTCAAAACTTTCTTACCATTCGCGAGAAAATATTGGCTCTTTCAGATAGAAGGACGGACTAAGACCTTGTGGAACAGGTGATCAAGAAATTACTGCATTACCTAGATGCATAGATTGTCATGGACGATGATATACATGACAAGCAGAGTAAGCGCCACAAGAGGTTAGAAATCCTTGCTTCGTAAATTCTTGGATACAGTACTTCAAAGTCCTTCTCGATTACTTCATTGAGTTGCAATCCTATCGGTATTCAGGTTTTGCCTTTGGAACAAGGACGGATTAAGACCTTGTGGAACAGGCGATTAAGAAATTACTGCATTACCTAGATGCATAGACTGTCATGGACGATGATGTACATGGCAACCAGGGTAAACGCCACAAGAGGTTGGAAATCCTACTCGATAAGACGGCAATTCTGGACTGCAGAACGCGCGTATTGTGGTGTATGAGTGCTTCGTAGATTCTTGGATACAAGGTGACTTAAAGAGCTTTGAAGATATGGGAAGACTTCGACATCAGTCATTCATCCCATTTATCTCGCTCCTAGAATTGAACCAAACCAGTACTTCAAAGGCCTTCGCAATTATTTCATTGAGTTGCAATGCTATCGGTATTCAGGTTTTGCCTTTGGAACAAGGACGGATGAAGACCTTGTGGAACAGGTGATCAAGAAATTACTGCATTACCTAGATGCATAGACTCTCATGGACGATGATGTACATGGCAACCAGGGTAAACGCCACAAGAGGTTGGAAATCCTACTCGATAAGACGGCAATTCTGGACTGCAGAACGCGCGTATCGTGGCGTATGAGTGCTTCGTAGATTCTTGGACACAAGGTGACTTAAAGAGCTTTGAAGATATGGGAAGACTTCGACATCAATCATTCATCCCATTTATCTCGCTCTAGCTTTGAACCAAACCAGTACTTCAAAGTCCTTCTCAGTTACTTCATTGAGTTGCAGTGCTATCGGTATTCAGGTTTTTCCTTTGAAACTGTGCCAGTATATAATTCCGTCTACATTAGTAGGTAATCAACGTTGATTTCCAACTTTGCTGGTCGAAACTGTTATTATCGTCGAAATATTTTACTTTCTGTATCAAATATTCAAGCTAATTATGAACGTAGAGTTCATCGTTTCCTCCTATTTCTTTATCGATCTCATAAATAATATATATTCTCAATGGCATTAGAAGTGTTACACTCAGAAAAAATTTCTTCAACTCATTCTTTTGGCAACATAATGACTATATTTAAAGCATGCTGTGGCAGCAATTTCAACGTTTTATCTTTGTTTATGTTTAACTTTGTTAAAACGTTATCTCTTAGTTTTTGTGAAGAAAGAAGTTCCTGAGAGCCGAGTAGTACAGTAATTACCCTTTTATTCACATAACAAAATGCCTCAAGCTCGAAAACGTGCAAATTACCACCATGTTAGCGACTTTGACAGGGGTAGAATTGTTGCCTATCGAAATGTTGGTTGTCTATCGCGAAATTGGCCGCAATTGTACTGCAATGACGGTACCGGTATGAATGGTTTGGAGAACAAGGTAGACCTGTTACTATGCACACACTCTATCGCCACATTCGAGTGGACTTCTTTCATACCGTATCCGGTTAGTGCTTCCACTGACTGCGTATCACTGGCGTCAACATTTGACATGGCGCAGAGAACGGTAACATTGGGAGGCAGAATGGCATAATGTCATATTCAGCGACGAATCGCGATTCTGTCTAGGTACGCATGATGATCGTAGAAGGGTAAGACGCCGCCGTGGAGAACGGCGTGAAATTAGATTTTCTGTTGAGAGGCATGTACGCAGGAATGTTCGAGCAATGGTAGCCCCACCCCTTCTCTTTGTTCAAGGCAATATGACTGCTGCGGGTTATGCTGATGATGTCCAACAAACCACTTCACTGTCACATCTAGAGGGCCGTCCACACGTCCTTTTGAGCGAGACAACCCACGTCCCCATATTGCTCGTCGTACTACTGACTTTCTTCAAAAGGCAGAGCTATCCTCTCGCGGTGCCCGGTATTTATTTTTCTGCTAATGCAGCTGCATCACTATAAAAAACAATGATTTTTTATATTCTGATTCTTATCCAAAGCTTTTATGCTTGAGGCGTGATGTAGAGAATTCATATGCGAGAGGAAAAAAATCATATTCACTTATGAGCTTCCCGCTTTTTTAATCACCGTATATTCGACGTTAATCTATCCTCCGATTTTTTAGCTTCCCAACCACTCGTCAGGTTTCAATTTAAATTTCCAACATCGGAGATTATACGATGCATCAGGGCAGATTCGTGACCATTATGAAAAAAGTAATTGGTTCTCAGAATTGGCATAACCGGTTAAAGTCAAGATACTTAGGGGAATGAAGAACCGGTACTCTTACAGAGAACTGGGAATTTTGGTACTGATTGGCGAAGGGACCGGGAGCCTCGGGATTTTTGTAAATTTCGAAACTTTAGAGTCAAATTCAGCTCATATACATCCTGCCATCTCTGGAATGTCAATGCACTCCAGGAATGAAAAAACACCACAGCAACGTTTGATATCTGATAATAATAGCTCTTGGTATGCACTTATATACCTATAAAATATACTAAGTGACAAAAAAAGGTAAACACATAGATACATATCGATTTATCTTGCAATGAACAACAAGTGATAAAATGGTATTAAATTTCACTCCAAGCAGAATGTACGTATGTATAGATATCGCGTCACCTTCTACTACCAGAGATGCAATAAGTACAACCCTTTGGCGCACGGTAAGTGCGACCGATAGGTACGCGACCCCAAGTTTTAAAAGCAAATGTACGGAGAAATGTGTGAAATATGTCTAATATGTGCATGTATGTATATGCCCCGGGGCTCGAACTGTATTAATATACTGATATCGATACAGTTACTGGGCTAATTTTCTAAAACTACAAAACCTTTTTCGTCCTTGGCATAGTAGAACGTAATCGCATCCATAACATCGCATTTACGATTTTTTTTCGCGAATACAGTCTAACTCGAGAGTAGGCGTGGGAAGCAGGAATTCATCGTATCAATAACAAAATAGGGATCCATCCTACTTTATGTATTACCTCGTGTAGTTTTCATCGATTCTGCCTGTAATATGTCGTTTCAACTGAGGAGACAAAATGAACATTAGGACAGAAAACAATTTCTATTACTACCTACCCTCTTTGGTCTGATACGGAAAAAGTAGCAATCTCGCGGAAACCAATTCCAATCCAATATAAATAAAAACTGTGTATCAGACATTCAAGAGAAAAGTATAGTCTGCCAAATCCGCAAAAATTATGTGGAATGTCAAGATATTCTGGGATGTTTATAGTTAGATTACACTGTCCCAAGAAATCACAGTTGCTGTAACTGGGAATATCCTATTGTAAATGCCATTTCATTTGTAAGTACATCATCGCGTTTCAAATATAACTATGACAATTTATCAAGGAAATGGAACGTTCTATTTATATTACATGAAAAATTCAATTACAAGACATTGACATAGTTGTAAGAAATAAAAATCTCCATTTTCGTTACAAGCTAATTAAACTCGGTACACTGTACTGTACTATAGGGTGACTTCGAAGTTGTCATTTATTTTAACAGTGAGTAGATCTGATCAAAAGAAATGTTTTTTTCCTTTACCATTTTTCTGGTAAAATTAAAGTAACAAAGTTATAGCCCTTTGGAAGTTTGAGTACCGCCCTGTCTCAATAATAATATTATGTGCTCGTGTTTGGCGACAACGGATATAATTCGCCTTATCGGTTCATCGCATCGGAAACAAAAAAGCGAAAGAATTTGGAACGATGTTTTTACAATTATTTCATTCAGTTGTATACAGTCAGTGTCAGTCGGTAGTGGATAGTGGTGTCTGTTGCGTGGCTCAAACGAAATAAAAAATGGCACATGTTTATGCGGATCGGTTTCCCAATCGAGTGCAACCAACCCCTCGTGCCTTTGTTAATGTAGTACAACGGGTTCGTGAATCATTTGACTTAAGACCTCACATATGGACGGCATGCCGGTGCTCCAAGACCTCACGATCAAATACAGGTCCGCACTGAAATACTTGTCGGGAGGATACTTTATAAAACAAGGTAAACATTTTTTTTTTATTTTTTTTATTTTTACACACATATTTTGGTTTATCTTCCTTCTACAATCATTATCTGAAAATTAATGACTCAACTTCAAAGTCACCCTGTATATATACAGGGTGACTTTGAAGTTGAGTCATTAATTTTCAGATAATGATTGTA